ACATTACAGGTACATGTTATCCCTTGAGTTACATTTCCAGATGAATTCCTTTATTTAAATTGTGTTCTTCTTGTCAGGTAATTTACATAAACAAGCACGGAGACTAGATATGCATGATGATGTGTTCACATGCAGCTTTCCATGTTGCTCTCCCGCACGAAACATTGACGTGTAGCCATTTCCTCTCACGGTTCTTCTTAATAGTAAATGTTCACTCTTCTGAATGTATATAGTAAGTAGCGGAAGAGTGCTTACAAAGGCTTTTAAAGTACTGTCAAATATGGCCCTCTATGCAAAGGCAATAACACTCACTGCAAGAGCAAGGTGGTTTTACAGTGTTCACAACAGATAGTGACGCTTGCCAATCTCAGCGGGTAGAAGACATAAAGAAAATATAAAAACAGGCAGCTTTAGGTCACACAAAACAGCCAATCGCCTGACATTGATGAACCACAACAGGTGAAAAGTGTTTTGCTGGGTTGATACAGCCGTTAGGGGTTGCAGAAGCCAGACACTTTCAACAAATAGTCACTTTAAGATCCTATTACTTGTAAAAATGTGGTGTGAATGCATTCATGAGAGACTATACACATGTTTTTACAAAATGGCCCGGTATTATTCTTTATCTGCTTCAAATAGAATAACTTTGTGCGAAAAATAAAATACCGGATGATAAATAACTTGTAAAGATTAACGATTCAACATTTCTTTTTTGTGTTTTGATGTCAGTCATCAAAAAAGCAGCTCCTCAATTAGTTTTTCAATTTAAAAATACCTTGTCCGTTAACATTGACACAGTCGGTGAGTTGACATGCTACTACACATCTTTTAAATATTATTACTATCAAAATAAATTACAACAACACGGTAACAAATCCTGCAAATACACACAACAGTGTACGGACAGTAGACTGTGGTGGAATGTAACACAAGTACATTTACTCAAGTACTGTACTTTTTTTGTACAAGTACAATTTTCTACTTCAGTTGAGTATTTTCACGTTATGCTACTTTTTAAAGTTCACAAACCAGTTGCACATTTAATAGATTTCAAGAAGGCAAGATATATAGTATAACTAATATTCAGGGTTCTTACACCTTTTCCAAAGTCAAATTCAAGCACTTTTCAAGCATTTTCAAGGTGCATTTTCCAGCTTTTCAAGCATCTTACAGCTGTTGTAAATTACATATTTATATACACATACTCAAATGATTATTTCCCTACCTCACATTAAATCAGATGTTCTTTATGCTATAAACAACCAAATGTGTGTTTCATAATAGCATTCTACACGAGGATGAAAAATTAAAGAAAAGAAAACTAAGTTTAATATTTCAAAATGAGTGACCCATCTGTATGTCCCATATAACCTGTCTGAGCCAATATAAAACAATCAGCCAAATAACTTTTCAATACATTATTGATTACTATTTTTGAGGTACTTTTAGGTTGGCAGTAAACACAAGTCAGAGGTACATGGTGTACTTCTACTCCTCTACAGTTCAGAGGTACATGGTGTACTTCTACTCCACTACAGTTCAGAGGTACATGGTGTACTTCTACTCCACTACAGTTCAGAGGTACATGGTGTACTTCTACTCCACAACAGTTCAGAGGTACATGGTGTACTTCTACTCCACTACAGTTCAGAGGTACATGGTGTACTTCTACTCCACTACAGTTCAGAGGTACATGGTGTACTTCTACTCCACAACAGTTCAGAGGTACATGGTTGTACTTCTACTCCACAACAGTTCAGAGGTACATGGTGTACTTCTACTCCACTACAGTTCAGAGGTACATGGTGTACTTCTACTCCACTACAGTTCAGAGGTACATGGTGTACTTCTATTCCACTACAGTTCAGAGGTACATGGTGTACTTCTATTCCACTACAGTTCAGAGGTACATGGTGTACTTCTACTCCACAACAGTTCAGAGGTACATGGTGTACTTTTACTCCACTACAGTTCAGAGGTACATGGTGTACTTCTACTCCTCTACAGTTCAGAGGTACATGGTGTACTTCTAATCCACTACAGTTCAGAGGTACATGGTGTACTTCTACTCCTCTACAGTTCAGAGGTACATGGTGTACTTCTACTCCTCTACAGTTCAGAGGTACATGGTGTACTTCTACTCCACTACAGTTCAGAGGTACATGGTGTACTTCTACTCCTCTACAGTTCAGAGGTACATGGTGTACTTCTACTCCACTACAGTTCAGAGGTACATGGTGTACTTCTACTCCACTACAGTTCAGAGGTACATGGTGTACTTCTACTCCACTACATGTATTTAATACCTTTAGTTACTTCACAGACCTGGATGAATGATGTGAAATATAATCAAGTGTTAAATCTTTAGTTCCACCTGGAGTAAATCCACCAGCTACCCTGCAGTATACAAAGTCATTCAAACTAGCTGCACCTTTACCAGCTTTGAGAACACTTTCATGATCAATCATTATAAAACATATCATATATATTATTCTGAAATGGACCAATCTGCACAACGACTACTTTTACTGTCTCTACTTTAACTATATTTTAATGAGAATACTTTTCTACTTTCACTTGAGGAATATTTTGAATGCAGGACTTTTACTGTGACAGAGTATTCCTACACTCTGGTACTTCTACTTTTGCTAAGTACAAGATCTGAGTACTTATACTTTTACTCAAGTACAATACCTGAGTACTTATTCCACCTCTGGTAGTGTATTAGTCTGAATTGTAGCCACAAAATCACGCAGAGCTGCATAAAAATAGACTCACAATGGTAACAAGTGGAAAATAATATTTACAAATGTGTACAATGATTTGTAGGTAATGCTGACTACTCAAGACACCTGACTTATACTTCTTCAAAGGAAGACTGTGTTCATTCTACAATTACATGGGATTAAAGCAACATGTAGTTTTACTTGTATAATACTTCAATTTTATATAAAGACAGTTTGTTTTCATCTGTTTTCAAATAAACAATTCTTGGCTTTCAGAATATTAAACTTGTTTCGGCAAATTCAGATGATAAATACAACTTTGAAGCTTCGGCATAATTACAAGCAGAGAACTGAGTAACTTAACGTCACAGCAAGCATAACAACAGCCGGTGTTTCTTGTGAGTGTTTCCCCGGGAAACAAACGCAAAAATACACAAACACACTCGCGAGCTTCCCCCAGACCAGTAATACAAACGAAAATGTGTCTTCGGGTCAATGTGACTGATTTCGAGAGAGCAAGTCACATTTGGTTTAGGCACGAAACAAACTACCAGTAGAAATACATTGCTTTCAAAATCGCTCTGTGTCGAATTAATAGATTATATTTCGTGACTATAACACGAAATGCCGTGAGTGCTTCATCCTCTGAACACCACACGATGGCGACTGTAACGCACATAACATAGGTACGCTCCTCTGAAATGATTGTCCCCTGCAATTAATATTATCTCTCAATCGAGTTTGCTAATCAGCTAGCTAACGTTAGCTTAAACAAACGTAACATGCAACGTTAGCCTAATCTAAAATGCTCTTCTACGGCGTACCTTTCATGTGGCTCGTCAGCGCAGACTCTCGCATCGTTATTTTTGCAAACTTTGCAGGAGGCTACTCGTGGGCTTGACCCTCGTCTTAGCCATGGCTTGTATTTGTCTTCTGCTAGCCAACGCTCGTTGAAACTGCAACCTCCTGGCACACAGTCATCTATCACTCATCAGAATGCTCAGGTCAGAGTAACACAAACACTTGCAGGTCGCGCGCATAGCGCGGGAAGGCCGCAGCGGAGCTGTTTTATGTAGAAGCGAAGCAATTATTTTCTTTTAATCTAAAAAGCGAACTATTCAGTCAGACAGCAATTTATTGTAAAAGTAAAGCATTTACATTTTCAAGCACTTTATCGCAATTTCAAGCACCATTCCCAAAATTCAAGCACTTTCCCAACCTTGAAAACACCATATCAAATTTCAAGCACTCGTACGAACCCTGAATATTGACATTTATTTTTTAATTCACAACTACCCTGAGAGAAAGAGCCATAGCATTCATCCGTTTGCATCTCACACATATATGTATTACTACAAGCTGTATTTATTCCACTGTACAATATGTCTTGACATTCGGTCTTTGTTTACCTTGTTCTATTTGACATGTATATATACACCTCTTTATTGACTTGGTCACTGCCAACATTCTCTGCAACATTTATGATGAATTGGAAATGGGGGACCCTGATGTAAAGACGAAAGTCTTTCTCTGGTCTGCATCCCCTTAACAATTGCATGTTTTGAGCTGTACTGTACCCAATATACAAGCTGTTAATACACTTTTCAATCAATCTTATCACTACTCAGTTTCTTCTTACTCCTTTTTTGTTATTGTTGTGTTATGTCATATATATATATATATATATATATATATATATATATATATATATATATATATATATATATATATGTTTATATTGCATTGTTGGAGGAGCCAGGGACTTAATATATAATTTCCATATCTACACTGTAGCTACTGTGCATATGACAATAAAGCCTTTGAATGCTGTGTTTTGTGTGTGTGTGTGTGTGTGTGTGTGTGTGTGTGTGTGTGTATATATCGTATCTGTACGGGGGGCCATTACACCCCCAACCCCCGCAGCCATTCATCAAAATATTCGCCCCTGTACTTGTAAGATTAGATAACACTGTGACAATGTACTTAAACAAATACAGAATTAAATATATCCATAGTTGGCTACTGCGAAAAACAAGCGGAACAGCATCCCAGCACAGGCTCCCGTTTACCGGCTTAACGGTTACCGGAACCGTTAGCCTTGTTAGCTTCAACCTAGCTAGCCAGTTAGCTTGCACTTTCCCACTTGTCTTGACTTGCCCGCGTCTTGATTTCCGCTAACCTAGGCGACAAGGCGCTAAACTTAAGACAGCTAGTGGAAAGCAACACTCGCGCTAGAAGGAACAGTATGTACACGCAAAGGAGCAGACCACCTACCTTCAACCTGCTTAGCCCACCACAGACCTCAACAACCTTGGTTTCCCTTTAAAAAAACAGCGTTTTCTTAGCAGACGATGCTAGCCGCTAAATGACTTCCGGTTGGGCTTTTCAAAATAAGACTGGAAGAAAAGCTTTATCGAATATTATACAAAGTACATTTCGATTCTTTATCAGAGGTGTACGGAAGAGTACGGAAGAGGATTAGGGCCAAATGAAAAAAATGTTGGGAGGATTTGAAAAAAAAATGTTTTGGTTTTTTTCTGACTTTAATCTCAGAATTCTGACTTTTTCCTCAGAACAATTTTTTTTGGACTTTTTTTCTCAGAATTCTGACTATAATATCAGAATTTGATGATCTGAGAAAAAAGTCAGAATTCTGAGAAAAAAGTCCAAAAAAAGTTGTTCTGAGGAAAAAGTCAGAATTCTGAGATTAAAGTCAGAATTCTGACTTTTTTCTCAAATACCACAGTCTGGGAATACTCAGTTACAAGTAAAAGTCCTGCATTGCAAATGTTACTCAATTAAACGTACAAATGTATTAGCATCAAAATGTACTAATTAAACAGATTGGTCAATTTTCTAATAATATACACTTTTGATTATAATTATTGATGCATTAATGTGTTTACAGCTGGTAAACATAGAGCTTATTTTAATTACTTTGTATGCTGCAGGGTCATTTGTCAGCTCAGCTGTAACTATTATTATTATGTAACTATTTGAGAAACCAGCTCGAGTGCGCTCGAATTTGAAAATACACAACCGGAAAAAATCTGCCACTTCCTTACAGAGCCCCTCCTCCAACACACACGAACGCGCAGAAGACCAATGAGGGCACGAGATAAATTTGTGCACAGATGGAAGGCTGACAGGCAGGTAGGCCATCCAGTTATTTTAGCTGGGCCGGCTAAAATGATTGGTCGTGCTTTTTACAATACTACGGCTTCCACAGATGACATTTTTTTATGGATTTTTTGTCAAAGCACTTAAGATATTCATTGCTATCGGGATGTTAAGAGCATTCCATGGAATAGCCTATAACAAAAAGTGTATCTCGAGCCGGTTTCTCAAATTTACCCACCTTTAAGTGTTGATTATATTTCACATAGGCCTAAATAATCCCAATCTGCAAAGTAGCAAAAGGTGTACAATTAAATGTAGTGGAGTAAAAGTACACACTTTACCTCTGAATTGTAGTTGAGTAGAAGTACAAAGTAGCATACAATTAAAATACTCAAGTTAAGTACTATCTCACATGTGTACCACCAACCCTCTGGTTGTTAGGCATCCATTTACTCCTTCAGCCAAGGACACCAGTACATATTCCAGTCAAATTGTACAAGACTGGCTTCTACGTTTATTAGATTTACAAGGCGACACAAAGATATTGTTAAAAAACATTTGTTTGAACTCATCACCAGTAACAACCATCCATTTTTCACATCTGTTCCAGAAAAACTCAAGGCTAGTGTGGTGCCGGGTTTCCTGAATATGTCATTTAAAAAAAAAAACTGGATTTAAGCCTCTGTTTCTTTCTAACTTTACCAAACTTCAGGTTTAGTTCCTGTTTAAAAAAACAAACTCCATTCTAACAACAAAACGGTTATCTCGATTGGGACATTCTGGCTATGACTTCATCATTTCTGAAATACAGCCCATAAATAGGATATGGCTGAGGGGACTTTGACTTTGAGTCAGTAGGTATAGGTTCAATCCCAGCCAATGGGTTCAATCCCAGCCATGCAGTTATCGTGTTGATTTATATCCTGTGTATTGTGCTGCTTGTTAAATGGGTGTGTGATCTCACTGCTATGGTGGAGAAGTGCTTCAAAATCAAAGATGTCAAACCTGTTAAAAATCCCATCCCTTACACTCCTGTTACTGAGTATTAGGTAGTAGCAAAACCTTTAATAGCAACACCATTTTCAATGCTAATAAACATTTATATCTGGCTCTTGATGGCTCTGTGAAACACACAGCACAAGATGTTTAGTAAAACTACAGATCCCTAGGGGTTTTAAACTACATTGTCAAAAAGACCTCTGGATTTCATCCAAGGCTTTTTTTTTGCCATAGCCGTTATTTGCACAATTAATGACAGTAATTATCTCTGACACAAGATTCCCACCCACACATCGGTGCTGTCCAACCAAAGCCTCAGCTGCTCCTCTGGGGTTAAACTTCATCATAGACATTTAAAATCTGTGACTTCATTCAGTGGAAAACAAATGAATACTGAGATGGAAAATTATAGGTAATTAATCAGAAATGCATGTGCATAGTATAATAATTTGCAGAAAGTGCAGTAAGTAAGTACTACAGAATGAGTGATGCTACAATTGACAAAGTACAGATGTTATACATGTAAATATATTAAAGATGTTTTAGTCAGAGTATAGATAGTCCAAATGTATATAATAGACAAATAGTAACATTTCCGAAAGTAGTAAAAGGTGCACTAGTTTTAGGTAATACCCCAACATATTCTGATTATAATCAGATGTGATAAAGAAAAGCTACAAATCATCATATTTGAGAAGCTTGAATCACCAATTGTTTAGAGTTTTTTTTAAATATGGAAGTAGATGAACTGATTATCAAAATATTTGCAGATTACTTTTTTAAATGCATCTAAATTAACTTGTTGCAGCTTTCTGAGAAGCACACAAAATAAGAATGATACGGATTTCAAGTGTGTGCTTTTTTTCTATGTGCGCAATCACATCAACAAAGGTCAAGGCGGTTACCATTATTGTGACTGAACAATCTCTGTTTGGATCCTCCAGCAGTAAATACCAGAGGATGTACAGTATGTGGCAGGATGCTTTATAAACCTACTTGAAGGATTTAAATTAAAGTTCCTGTTTACTAAGCAGCTTGTGGGCACTGAATTTGATCTGTAAATCAAATTGACCGAAACCTATAGACATTGAGAGCAGATGATGTTAATCCTACAATAAAGATATCTATTGATGCTTTGTTTCACAATCCTGTTTACATGACTATGACTGGGTCCAAAAGGAGAACATGTTGAATAGGAATCTAAATTAATTAATTATTTTGCAAATATTTAGATTGGAGGAGACCACTTGACTGCAGGGGTGGCTGGTTGCGTATTACAGTAAATAAAAAAAAACAAACAGGCAAGACTAATCTTTTTTGTCCACATATGATGTTTGTAAAGTAATTGACTTGCTTAAAGTGAAAATGTTCTAGATGTCTACAGTAGCAAAAGGCATTTCTGGCAATCAGCTAGGCTAAAAATAAGCCTTACCTATTCTGTTGAAGTAATAGTAGTAGTATTTGTTTTTTTGCACCGAGGGGAAAATGGGTTGCAGCACATCACAAAGGCCTTTAAAAAGATAAGACATACGTCACTGACAACAACATAGACACAGATTCAAACGAACAGACGTAAAAAACAACAGATATCGGCAGACATGACAATCTCATTTGCAAAAGGCCAAATGTTTGCTTTTGTTGTGGCTTAAACACAGACTTTGAACATGAGCATATGTAGTATGCAGACGACATACCTGATATGTTATTATTCACTAAAGTTAGGGTTACAAGATCAAAAAGAAAATCCCTGTTTTTGGTATCTTTAAGCCCTAAGTGATGGTGTGGTATGGGAAAGGGAGACAAATCTGCACTCTTGAAGTTAATTCAACTTTTCTTAGAGAAGGGTTTTTTTAATTTATTTTTCAAAAAGTTAAATGGCCTCACTTAAAAGTTCATGAAGCTTTACAAATAATTTCATTCAGTATATGTTATCATATTAACATATATTGTTTTATCTGTGGCCTCTTTTTTGTTGTGTTGTGTGACCCTGTGACTTGAATGACAAATCCAATTCCCCTTATGTTCTCTTGACACCTAACAAGACACTCCCAAATGTTATTAGTCCCTGGTGGTTGGTTCCAGGAATTTAAATAAAGGTGTACATATACTGTATAGTTCATTATGTCATTGACCTGTGGCCGTGCCGCACGCCATCTCTGTTAATCAGCAGGACAATAATCTGATATTCAATAAGAGGATTCAGCTGCAAGCTAAGTTATGTTTCCAATTCCATCTGGTTAAATCTCTATGCCTGTCCGTTGAGTTAATGTGTTAATAATATGTCACAATCATGATGATAACTGTGTAAAATCCTAATGTAAAAACTAAAGATTATTTTCTGAGTCTGTGGTTTTGATTCACTTGAACTCTGAAGATTTCTGCACCTCCTATGAATTAGGAAGTAGGCTAAAGCTTAAACCTTTATCCTCTTTTATTTATCTACCAACCTCCCTTTGTTCCCCTCCAGTATCAGCACCTTAAAGCATTGCATATTAAAAACCAACTCAAACAAAGACACTTTAGCTGAAACAAAAATGTTGCACAGTATTTTATGGAAGAAAATTATCAGTGTTTTAGTTTTCCCCACAGAATAAAGACACCCAATGATCTCTTCCACAGTTTTCCACTTGACTTTCCTGTGTAATCTGTATGGGATTGCAAAAGATTAAGGTATGGCACAGTGGCTATGCATTAATAAAATAAATAAATAATAGGAAAAACAACAATGGTTTTTGACTATTCTGTCTTTAAAATCGCCAAAAAAGTACTATTAACTCATGTCTTAAAATATGTATTATTTAAAAGAGGGTGAATTAATGCATTTATTGACATACTCTACACAGACAACATCATGTGAGCCAGGCAGCTCAGGAGGGGATAATAGTATTTAGATGTCCTGTAAGCACGCGGATCCTCTCAGTCAGCAACATTAATGGGGACAAGAGGCATGCTGCTCATGTCCTCAATGCTGAGGTGGGGGTATTAGACAGAAGTAATGCTGGAAGCTCTGAGCCCTCTGTCTGCTGTGTAGTTTGGGGTGGGTCATCATGGGGAGCACCAGCAGGACGGCCAACTTGTGTAACAGGAGACAGAGCCTCTTCCCTAACTACAAAGTTGCAGAGGTGAATCGAAGACCCTCAGAAATTGTTTATCCACTTGACAAGGAAAGCTGCGTGAAGTCATGGGCCTCTATGAAGGAGCTGACCAGGGACATCTATGACATTTATGCCGAGTATCAAGACGAAGAGGAGGACACT